AGTAGACCCGTGACTGGCGACGATAATACGAACGAGCCACTAAACTCTAATGACCTCGGCCGTGGTTCTTACCGTCATCGTAGCACTCTCTATTAAAAAAAAAAAAAAAAAAAAAAAAAAAAATATATATATATATATATATATATATATATATATATATATATATATATATATATATATATATATATATATATATATATATATATATATAGACTTTTTGTTCTTGTTGTGGCATGTTGTGCTTGCCTTTCCTGCTACAGCTCTCAACAGAGAGCCATCAGCGTGAACATTAATTCTTCGCATCAAATCCAAAACATATCCACATAGCACTTAATGGTTTCACTTGGTAGTAAGACCATCGGTTAAGTGAGTCCGGGCACTTCGAAGGTCTCAGAAATGCTTGTCTAGACGTTAGTCTGAAACTTTGCCCCCAACTTAAGTTACTAAAATCACTGACCGTTCGCCAAACACAGAGATCAGCGCTGTGTGCGTGTACGTCGTTCCTGGTCCTGCGTTCTGTATTTGTTGTTGTCTTTCGCGCTCTTTTATCCCAATTATAATAAAATTGTCCAAACTTTTCTTCTATTTTTTTAAACTTTATTTGGGGTTGTTTCTTATCAATCTTCCGGAATTATGCTGCAGTCAGATTGGCGATTTTGTGATATGATTTCAGCTCGTGCCATGCGTTTCTGCTACTTTCAGAATCATTGACCTCTATACCATATACACCAACAAGCGGGGCTGACGTCATGCCGCTGCGGGGGTGCTGATATCGGTAGGGCGCATGTGCGGACGCTCCCTTTCGCGCGAATCTGGTTCCTGCACACGCGCAGTGCCCATACCTGGTGGGGGCTTGTTTGTAAGCAGCCTGTTGGCCTCTACGGCATGCAAGCTTGTCTGCTCTTCGCGCACCTCGTGCATTTGTTTACCCTCCAGACGCTCTCTTGCGTGCTTCTGTCCCCCTTCGATCTCATCCGATGACGGTGCGCGTTTGGTTGCCTCGTCATCGCACGTTATCTGCGCTTTCCCCATTTGGTCTGCTGATTGGCGTGCCCCTCTTCCTTGCATTCCGATCCGCCAAAGACGCGTTTTGCAACACTTGCTCTTCGAATATCTTCTAGATAGCGGGTCAATCGGGTCGATTCTCCCGCCTCCTTTCTAACAGGGAGTTGTGAGCCCTTCATGTTAGCAATAGACCCCTTTCGAAAGTCGCGTGCCGATTATTAGAAGGTCGAAACCCCTGCACAATTGACTCTGTAAGTGTGACGTCATGGGTCCAAACAAACCGTTGCTAGGGTCGTTGTTATGGACAAATACATGTGGCTAGGTTTCGCTACGAAAACCCGACCGTTCTAAAATCAGGAGTAGGATTTAAATTTCTAGAAATCACAGATATAGAAAGCCTGAGTGTCATATATATTTCGACAGAAGTGTGCCGGTAATCGCTTGTTTCTGAAATATTTATGACTGCAACTTCCGGTCCTCAAGATGCCTGCAGCAGACGACGAATGCAAGAAGTATGCCGTCTGCCACAGGCCGGCAAGCCAAGCCGGCGCCGTCGTTTCAATCGTGTGAATAAGGACGATATTCTGATATTGCATTTGTTCTAAATATAATGATTTCCAGTAAGTTAAAGAATTCATGGTGGGGTGCGATGCAAAATATGGTTTATCGAAAGTCCGGGCGTCGATCGAGATGATCGTCTGCTAAAAGATCGCATTGGACCCGTGAGAAAAGCACTTCAGGCGATCGGTCGAGATCCCAAATTTTGTTTGTGGACTCGCTCTGTGTGAGGGTGCGTCGTACCTGGTTGTAACCATCGCTGCATAGGTTACTGAAAAATCGCGATAGACATGGAATTCTTTAATAACCTGACAACCTCAGTAATAATATTAATGATAATAATAAACGAATTACCTTGCCGGCGTACGGTTTGTTTCTGATACTGGCCTGCACTACGCCGGTAATGCACTTCAGGTCGTCGTCGTAAATGATCTGCATGACGTGGTTTGATTTTACTGCATTTTCACCCCTCTGAACTAAGATGGGTTCTTCACAAAAAAAAATATATATAAATAAATAAAACGCACATTGCGGAGGCCTCTACGGCGACGGCAAAGCACTTGTTTTTGTCGCATGTTTACCGGCGCAATTGAAGACGTCCGCTGCAACAAAGGCCAGCAAATCTATCGTGTCGTCTGCTACCACAGCAGAGTGGAGTGTAATACATCAGAAATGGCTTTCATTGTTGCAATACGACACTGAGACGACAAGACCATCTTCATAATTAGATATCAAGAAGTTAGGTTGCTTACAAAAAATTATTTACTTGTAAGCAAAAATCTAGCCTCATGTGGAGTCTCCATGCATTAGTCCATAGCAACGTCCCTAGCAACGGTTTGTTTGGACCCAGACGCCAAGCTGTGACGTCATCACTTACGGGGTCAATGGCGGAACAACATACATCGTGGAACGAGCTATTCATTCCATAAGATAGCGAACGTCGGAGCGCGGCCAACGCTGGGAGCAGACGAGCCAATCAAACAGCGTCGGAAGTGCAACGTCACTGTGCTCCTCACCCTTTCCTGTGGGTGGGTGTGTTTTTGCCTTCTACTCCAACCAAACGCGTACGGTGTGCCATGACGTTGCGGTTTTAGTCCGCCATTGTGCAGGGATTCCATAGTTCCCAACAGAGGGCAGGAAGGGCCCGAGTGTAGCGTGTTTCATGCTGAAGCATTGTAGACGTCTCCTGGCAACCTTTCAAAAATCGCTTTACAGTGCACTTTCATTGAAGCAGTTTAGATATCGCCTATAGTCCCATTCAACGACATACTGCTCGGAAACATGCGAAATACTAGTCTCGTTCGATTTACCTCCACCTCCTGCGCCGGTACAGAAAAGTGTAGTGTGTTGTACTTCCGGTATGTGTATTGATGAAAGCGCTAAAAAGACGACGGGCGTGTTGAAGGACTATACGGGCACCACAGATACCGAAATAAGAACAAAACGACTAGGGACATATCGGAGGCGTTTATTTTATAACGCAGTGCGTTGAGGGCCTGGTTATCAGCGCCCCTCGATAACCTTGTTTGACTCTGAGTCAAATACTTGAAATCGTTGGAGCGGTAAACATTAGTGTGACAAGGTGTCCACGCACTTCGCCTAGCCCACGTGTCTTTTTGATATCAAAATGGTTTACAGCGATTGCTGTTACGGGCTCTTCCCGCCCCTGCAAATGACTTCCGCTGGCGATGCAGGGCGTCCGTCGTTGATGTTGTCAAATCCTTGAAAAAGATCGCCCGACGGGATCGAACTCCGGTCCGCTGCGTGCGAAGCGGAGGCATTACCATTGAGCTACGCCACAGCGTTAACAACCCGTCTTAATGTAGGGTGCGTATTCACCGGCCGCCATAGTTGTGTGCGTGGCTGCTGAGCGCGTGCTAACGGCGAGCTTCCGCAGTTCTTTTGCAATTGCATTCCGCACCAGCAAGATGGCCGGTCTTAGCAGGCTATTAATGGGAGCTCGTTCTGAGCATGCGCTCTGAACATCGCCCTAGAATGTGGCGTGCCCACTGCACGCGCTCTCTGGAAAAAAGAAATAGCAGATAACAAAATGACGTCATAGCACTGTCAATCGTAAAGGAGCTGTGCAACGATTTTAAATTTGAAAGAATTTGCATCTTGTACTTTCGACGTTGTTTATCTTTCCACAAAGGACAGAAAAAGCACATTTACTCCCTTCGAAATGCTGCAATTCTGCCGCGTATTCGCGAGGCAAAGCTCCTGCAGAAGCGGCGGTCGCTTCCCGCAGTGCGGCCTTGGATCCAGCATGGTCACCCTGGGAGCACCATTGTGATACTGTGCTTCGCAAGCGGAACGCCTGCAGTTACTCTAAGCTTCACCAGAACCCCGCGCGTCCCCCTTTCACGTCACAGCGCACGTGACTCGAAAGATGGTGGGAGAGTTGAGATGCAACAACCCTAGGTCTTTGTCTTTTATATATATATATATATATATATATATATAAAAAAAATAGGACATGTAGGCAAAAGCGGTTTTTTGTTCTTTACTTTAGAAAGGTCGAGGCACCAGTCCCACAATGATTTGAACAAAGCCCCTGAAAATAAGAAAATAATTTAACAGTTGGGTTGGGACACGCGAGTCCAGAAATAAATTTTAGGCGAAAAAGAACATTTCTTTAGAGCAGTTGTTCTCGACCATTGATGATTCGCGGACCCCTTGTTGATCGGCGGAGATGATGGAGGACCCCGTTCGTGCCGAAGGGAAGGGAACGTTATAGGTTAGTTATGATAATGATTTAATAAGTGGCTATAACTGAGGGCTGGTGTGAAGTAAACTTCGCTCATTGATATATACACGAGAAATCTCACCGAAAATTGGAACGCTGCTTCCCAATCGAAAAAAAAAACAACAAAAAGAACAGCTTTTATTGCCGGGCTTCACTAACGAGGCAGAGCTTCGCGGACCCCCATTTGAGAACCGCTGGTTTAGGGCAGTATTGACGGCGCGAGACGCGATTCAGCCGGCAGTCCTCCTTTCCACTTGTTTTCTCTCTCGGCATTAAGGGCGCGAGCAAGAGAGAGGGTATGATCATCTCGTTGAGGTGGAAATAGTGTATTACCATTCCATGACGTCATGAACTTCATGCGCGCAAATTTTAAAAGAAATCTCGCGCCGTCAAAATTGCTAAAAAAATTTTTTTTCTGCTTAAAATTATATTTTTTTTTGAAACGCGTGTTTCAACTTTATTTGCGTGACGTCGAAGCCCACTGTGTCGGAGAGCAGTGTTGGTCGAACGTTATCGAATCGGACTATGTCACACTTGCAATCTGGAGCCATCCGGGGAGAACGTTTTTTCGGGAGACCGAGCTCAGCGTTTGGTGATATCGCTCAAACAAATGTATACATTCGATGAGAGTGGCTGAGTGTCTGTGGTTGTGCCTCGCGACGGTTCTTAGTTGCCGACTGTCTGTCCCCAGGAGCGCGATGTGGACGTGGAGGCGTGCTGCCTGGAGCAGGGCGAGGCCCGTCGCGCTGTGAAGCGCTGGGTGGAGTTCCAGGACGGCCAGCGGATCCTGGTGACGACGCCGTCGGTGCTGGTCGGCTACCGCGTCCAGGTGTACCGCGCCGAAGGGACGACCCAGTGGTACACGGCCGTCATCATCTCGTACAACGAGACGACGCGGGTGAGTGTGCACTTGCCACCGTGCGAGAGTTGGATGCCTCACCCTGCTGACGACCCCGTGTTGCCACGGCAGCGATGAGGGGGGAAACACGCCTATTGATAAACTGTCGTGGCCGTCCGTACTGTTTTTCTTTATTTTTATTTCTTTTATTTTTTACGCCGAAGATTGTTTTGTTTGTGAGACTTGCGAGGGGAAACTCCAAATGTCTCCCGAGCGCTCGCCTTTACGCCAAGGTTGACGACTATGCCCTGGTCACTCACTTGCGCATTCTTCCTTCACGTTTTCCGCCGCGAGTTGCGGATGCCGGCGAGATTCCCCGCGACTCCCGTGTTTGACTGAATGAGCGCTCCGTCCGGTTATCTCTGCGTAGACTGGCACACGACGCTCGCCCGCGGGTCCGGTGGCTGCGCGATGAGGCTCGCAATGCCTGGGGTGGGACGCAGGGATGTCTGGGACCGGCAGCGAGAGCGGACGTCACGGAACCCCGCGAGGCTGGCGTCTCTGCCTTTCTGCGAAAAGCCTCCTCGGCAGTGGGCCCCATGTGGACGGCTCTTGCCCGTTGGCGCTCAGACTTTGCCGGCTTCCCCCACGGGGAATCCTCGCACAGCGAGTGCATCGGCGATGGATGTTTCCCGTCCAAGGCCCCCCGCGGCGCATGTGGCCCTCTCCGGCCCGTGTGTTTACAGTGTGGAAAGCTTGTCAGCGCGGCGGCGGACCCGCCATAGCCGAGGCTCTGGAAAGGTTCCAAGGCGCTGCGAGGCGCTTCTTGGCGAGGCTCTTGCCGAGGTCGGGGTGGGGGCGCTGCGGGCCACCGAGAAGGCCTAAGCCTGACGTCATCGTTACTGGATCCCCGACCGAGCGGCCAAAACGCTGGAGGTGGACGAGAGAGACGCGTCCGTCTTGGCCACGCTGCGTGCTGGCGTCGCGTTCGTCCTGAGGCGATGCAAGACGCGCTGTTGTCGATGATGCTCACGCAAGGACTAGTGAGGAAGGTGGTATCGGTCTGGCACGCTGCGACGCGCTTCCTGGTCTAGAGCGCGGCTTGGGCTCGCTGCCCTTCCCGACGGCCGACAATCGCCAGAGAAAATGTACGCCTCGACGGTCGCTGGGCCTGGAGGGCTGGAGGGCCAAGTTTCTTCCCCTATCACCAGGCAGTGTGGGATATCACCAGGATGACCTTTAAAGGATCGGGCAAAAAAAAAAAAAAAAAAACTAAAATTATCACTTTCCGCCTTTTCCCCCCGGCGAGGGAGTTGCCAATTTGCCTCTGGTCAAATCTTGTCGGCGTTACTCCAGCACCGGACCCACTAGGGGGGGGGGGGGGGGGGGGGGGAAGGGGGGGGGGGGGGGAAAGGGGGGGGGGGGGGGCAGGGCAGGGTCTATGCTAGACTTTGGCCCGGAGACACGCGGTAGCGAGTCTCAATTTTCCTCTGTCCCGCCTGTCCCCAGCTGTGCTAATTGGTACTGCATCATTGAGTTTTTTTTTTTTTTAGATAATGTCCACCAATCTTCTTATCGCCTCTTTGTGACTGTAATCCTTTTTTCTCTTCTGTCCTTCCATCGTCGCCAGCAAAACCCAGGGTCCCGGCCAAATCTGTTGCCCCTTGAGGGAGGAGCCCCGTGCACTTCAATATCAAGTGCTCTAGTGTCTCGCTCTCATTCTGGCTGGCAGCATATAATCTGTCTCCTGAAATTTAGCCCTATACGTCCTCGTCCTCAAAAGCTCCAGTTCTCGCCTCAAACAGTAAAGAACTTCCCAGTGAATTGTCATACACATAAATACTTGAATACCTTCCGTGCCCACCACGTATCATCCATTTCGGTCAACCTTTGTTCAAATTTCAATTAGCTAATTGCCTCTCTGCTCTCATAAGACGACCAGCCCATGCCCGCCTATACTCCCTCATTTGGTATCTTTCCGTGTGCTCCCAGTGCCAATCTTCCTACGCTTCTTTGTCGAATTTCTAATCCTGATTGAACCTCTGGTTTCATGCACAGTACCCCATTGCCAAAAGACAGTCCGGGTACCATCGCTCGTTTTCATATACCCCTGACCGCTTCATATCTATTATTGTTCCATGGTGCCTTGAGCTTCATAATAGATTAATTACTTTTCCCTTTTCTTGTTATATTTTCCTGATGTTCCTCTAGATATTCCCTTCCCTATTGAGCCAGACTCACAGATATTTGTATTTTCTTACATGGTCTATTACAATGACTTGTATCCTAAGGGGTTTCCTCTTTTCGCCGTTAAACACCATTACTCCAGACTTGTCACTACTAAAACTCATGCCCAAGGTGTCTCCTTCCTCTCCACATATTTCAGCTAGTTCCTGTAACGTATCCTGGCGGGGCATTTGCTGCGATCAGTGTTGTCAATTTAGCGGTTCTCCTGCTAAAATGTCCGTTTCTTTTTAGTCGTCTGGCAAAAGAAATTGCCATTTTGCGGGCGGCCGTTAGCGTTTTTTTTTTGTTTTTGTTTTTTTGTTTTACGGTGTTTTCGAGTTTACATTGATCAGTCATAAATACGCGTCGCCGATTTTCGCTCTCTTCTTTCTTAAAGGGTAACTGCAAAGAAAAAAAAGTTTTTTTTTAAACAGCCTAATTGGGACAAGCATGTCACAAAACAAATGTTCCGCGAAAAAAATTATTTTTTTTATCAATATTTACGCCACAGGACGTAATTTAGTAGAGTCAGAATTTCTCCACATTTGAAACTCCCGCTCTTTCGACCCCCGCGGAAGAGGAGTACGCCCCGCCCCTCACTCTCCTTGCGTTGCGGAGTTGAACGACGCAGCGTCTCGACTTCCGGCAAGATCTGGCAACCACGCCAGGCCGCGGTATTTTTTTGGTTTGACGCGGTTTGCGAGCACATGTAGCGAAGACGTGACCGGAGAAGTGCCCCTGTGATGTTCCCGGAAGATGGAAAGTATCGTTCGTAATCGTCGTGCGCGCTTTGAAAGCGAAGGGAGTCACAGAATCCACGAGTGCGCAACCACGAGCCAAGGTTCACGACAGCGCTGCGTTGGTTTCGGCGATCTCGTTCTGTTTGATGCAACACGGCGATGCGACAGAGCTGAAACGTTTGTGGTGTGTGTAATGCGGTGCTAACACGGAGCGCAAATTGGTTGTTGTGGGGTTGACGTTCAACCAGTTAAGTCCCGTCGTCGTCAGCTGATCCAGTCAAATTGGTCCGGGAGGACGCTGGGAGCGTTTTTAAAAGTAAATCTGCCTCGTTCTGTTTCAAAATGTGGAAGTTTCCCGACGCATACCGTGAGTAAAAAGCTGCGGGCGTTTTCAACAAAATTACGTCGTTTTAATTGAACAATGGACTCCGCATTGTTGTCCTAAATCTGCCGTTTTTATGCTTCGTGTTGGACTGCGTTTGCACAGCGACGTGTTGCATCTTGCGGTGTGAATAAATTTGGGCACGATTTCGTACCTGCCTACAGATGCATGAACTGAGACCATTTTTATGTAGTGGACATAGTGCTTTTTTTATTTTCTGTCTAGTCGCGGACGTTAGGTGCACATGGGGCGAATCTCGACGGCCTCCAGAGCGATATGACGAGAACGTAACTAGACACGTTGGTCGCTACGCGAACGCCCGGTTGCCTCCAGCCAAATAGCATTCCTTTCGGGGCGACATGGCTGCTGGAAGGCTCACTGTCGGGATCACGCATCTGACATCTCCGAAAAGGCAGCATTTGCACGCACAAACAAGCAAAAAAAAAAAAAAAAAAAAAGCACGCTAAGCAAGCAAAGAGGAAAACGAAAGAACCGCGCTATGAATGCCAAAACCCCGCGTCGCTTCCTATCACTAACACCTGCGACAGCTGCTAAACACACACTACTTCACTTCAAGAAGTCTCACTCAAGCACCTGGGTCAGCACGAAACGACGAAACACTGATCACTTCGGCGAAACGATTAGTCGAGGTAGGCGAGACAGGCGGGAGCAGACTTCGGCGGCCATGAAAGAATGGCGAAGCTTTTGTTTGTATGAATCCAAACGGAAGTGCCCGTCTTGTAAACCTTTTGTAAAGAATAATAACTCTCATCACATGGGTTATTCTTTAAACGTAAAAATATGCCGCTCAAAAGGAAATTGCAACATATAACAAAAGTTTAACAACCAAGACCTAAGCTGTCAATCAAACTCTTAGCCAATGAGAACCTTTTGGGATTGACGTCACATAATCACAACTTCGTGGCGCGCGATTTAAAACGGACGAAATAGCCGCAAACTAAAACGAGTCTCACGCAATAAATATTGCTGTTGAAAATGTTTTTTCTCGCGGAAAAATTGTTTTTTGACATGCTTGTCCCAATTAGGCTATTTAAAAAAAAACTTTTTTTTCTTTGCAGTTACCCTTTAACGCGGTGTTGAAAAGTTTTTTTCTTTTTCTTTTTTCGTTTTTTTTCTCTTTCTCTGGGATATACACCGGTTGAAAAGAGCGTGCTTTTTGTTTATTCCGGAAAGCGTCGTACCCGTTTCCGGAAATTCGCAGTGCCTGAGACTGCTTGTACCAGGGTGAAGAATAGAAATTGAGATTATTTGAATCATGACTTAACATCATGTTTTATAGGGCGATATAAGTCGGACCAGTTTCACTGTGATCATTTAAATCGAACCTTTCCCCTAAAAATAATTCCTAAAATAGTTCTTATTTACCGTTTGTCCATTTGTTTTGAATTAAAATCGAAGGATCATCAAGCAGGCTGAACACGAGGGAAAAGCGTTGCTCTTCGGAGCAAATCGGATCAATGAGCTTTCTTTCGACCTTCCACTTCGTTCGTCAGTTCCATAACTTCCTATTTGCAATCAAACGAGAACACGAAAGAAAGAAAAAAGGGTAATGTCTTATTTATTTACTTACCCTCGGGGTCAGAAAACATTACCGAGGGGAGTGGTAAACATAAACAAACAAAACGGCAAAAATAAACACTCATGGTACACCGGAAAGCAACCAGAAGGGCGGGGCATTATTGAAAGTAGTC